AAAAAAAAAACTTCGAGTAACTGAATGATACCGAGTACCGTCGTTAAAAACCCCGCTTGCTAATCTTTTGCAGTGAACACAGAATCTTCTTACTGGATCAAGCATGCTACGAACGCTGTTATTATATCAGCCGTTATCTCTACACGATAATGAGTAAACAAGTTAAAGATAATGATAAACGATATAAAAATACGACGAGACGTATTGTTGCAGATAGGACGCTTTAGTTGTATTAAATTCTCAGATTCTGTTACTTCGATGCAACGAAATCAGGTTCGTAAACGAAGGTAAGAGAATTCTATTTGTCCCTGCTTACTCTCATCTTACATGTAATTATAAATGATAATTACAACTCTAAATTTCTATCCAACAAATACTGTTTTTTTTTTTTTTTTTTTTTTTTTTTTGATATCAGAGAGAATTCGACCGAAATTAATAATCGTTAACTACGAATAATAACGAACCTTGCCTATATCTATGAAAAAGCAAAACATCTTTATAAAATTTTTAAAAATGGAGAACAGAATCTCTGCTCTGAATTCAGTCGAACGCGAGAGGGACAGTATCGATGTTTCCTTCGATTCCACGAAGGGGGGGAGGCGCACGCGCAAAAATCAGGCGAAATAAGGAAGACATAAAGGAGGGGGAGGGGTGCCACGTGTGTGGTCCTGCCGGAGCACGTGTCGCCAGATTCAGGAGCGTAGGTTTTTGTTAGACGATCGGAGACCCGCCACTTGCTTTTTCCCGAGAAAACGTCGAGATTCCGTGGCGCGGACTGCGAAAGCGAAACGCGGAGTCAGAGTTTCAAGCGCAAGAAACGCGCTTGTAATTATCGCGAACCTTGTTCACCGCTCCGCCCACCGCGGTCCAATCGAATACACCGAATCGATCACTGTCAATCCGTCCCTCTTTCTTTCGTTCGACTATTTGCATTGAATTTGCCCGAAAGGAAAGAAAAAAACCGACCAATTAGGCGATAAACGATTTATATGTTTATACAAACATGCCTTCCTGCGTTTTCCTTTTTTCCTTCTCTCCCTTCTTCTTTTTTTTTTTTTTTTTTTTTTTTATCGTTTGAGCGATACAGATAAATCAATCACACTAAGATGAGTCATTTGAGATTTGAGAAATTCTGATAAAATATTTTCAAAATATTCTGAACTTCAAGAAATTTTCAGAAACTGGAAACAATCAGTTCCATCTTTATTAATAGTTTTCGTTCGATTCTTCTTGTTTGAAATTGGAAGCTCAATAGGCTGTTTGTAATGTGTAAATTAATTCCAAATCTGCAAATCTGCTAGATTTTGTTAACATATAAACACATGTGTGTATATATATTACATGTATAAAAAATACGATACATGTATAATAAAATACAATATATAATAAAATAGAAATATCTATAAAATAATACAAATATATATTTATATATAAAAATATCAATATAGAAATATCTTTTCATATCGCTACACATAGTGGCATCTATCAGCGGTTGCGGTAATCACTAGAGTATCGAGCTTTATCGATGCCTCGAAGCAACGAGCTTCATCGATGCGGGAGGCCCGACTTAACCCCAAAATAGGGTAAACATTTAATAAAAACTACACCGGAACCTCTATCCGCCGTTCTCTGCCCCGATTTTCACAAGAAACAAGACGACCGACATTCGAATGGAAAACGTTCTAACCTCTTCATTGAGAAAAAAATCTCAATGACATAATTGAAACGATTATTTGATATCTGGATAAGAGTTTAGATAAGACTGTTTATAATTGGCCAATTACAACCAACCGTATCCATGAATATCGAATAAAAGGGAGATAGACATGCGAATGACACTTTAAAAAATAACATAATCGTTGCGCGAGATAAATGCAAAAAAGACGTGCGTGGGAACAAGGGTGTGCAATAACCATGCAAACCGTTGAATATTCGGACGTAAAAGTTTTAATTTAAAGGGACTTGCACGCTCACCTGATCATCGAGGCCCGTCAGCCGCTACGCTATGAATTTCAACAAATTATACTCGATCGCTTTAACACTGAAAATAAAAAACACACCTCCGAATCACTTGTCACTAATTAAAGGCCTCGCGACGGCAGCCATAACTGCCGTTTAGCTCTCACTTGCCACGCCGACCGTAAGATGGCAGAACGATACAACTCGTAAGGGTCTTCAACTAAAATATTTGTAAATATTTTGTATATATTCCAATGAAATAAAATTACACCCTAAACGATTTCTACAAAAAAACGTAACGTGAAATATTATAGACAAGTGTTTTTGACACACGAATTCCAATTAAACCAAGTAATCAAAGTCGACAATGGTTTTTAACTTTGCATGTTTATGATATTAAACACGATAGAATTGAAAAATCTTTCTAAAATAATTAATAAATGAATATGACAATAACTTTTGATTAATAATCAATATCATTAATTTGCAATTTCTACAGATCTTGGATAGGTTGGTTTGAATTACCCGCGTCATACTTCTGTGGTGTGAAGTAGAAGCAGTATCCATTTTATTGTTGTTCTGTGAGCAAGTACATAAGTCCGAGAGAATGGTGATAATTCATATAAAACCAGCTGTTGTTGATCCTCTGGAGGGGAAATATACCAAAAATTTATGTACGTTACGTTATAAATGTGTGAAGAATATATAACATAAATTTAATTAATGTTACAGGGTCCAAAATAAAAACTCTACATGCCGCCATGGTAAAAACTAACCCATTAGTAACATATTATTCGTACATTTTTATCCCATTTTTTATAATTGCACCTACAATCCTTTACTTTGGACTCCGAAACGAACAATATATTCCAAAATATTACGAGTATATCTACAGTAAGTACTTACATTTAGTTTAGTATTATACTATACTTAACGATTATATAATCATTGGAATAGTAAGATATGCATATTTACTAGCAGCAGTCAGTAAAATTTAAGTTCACGCTATTCTAATGTTCTTGAACAATTACGAAGTAGTATTTTGATCATAATATTTATTATGTTTCAGTTCTTAGACCAGATGATCCTAGAGTTCAACGTATTAGAAAAGACGATGGTTTACGTTTTAGCAACACTTTCATGCTAGATAGTATACACATGCCTGGTACGATATAATTTTGCAAAAGAAATTAGTAGTAAATAAATATTTGTCAAATATTTATCAAACAAAAACTCAACATACGATTGTATGTTACTTTACAATCTTAAATCGTTTTAAGGAAACATAAATAAGTTTAATCATACATGTTATGTGTTCATAAATAATAGTGGTATAAATAAACGTACATTGATATTATTATATGAATGTTGTTTTGCATTCCTACAATTGATTTAAGATATCAAAATGAATTATTGCATTGCATTGAAAATTAAATTTATTATGCACGCATGGAATCTGAATATACCAAAATTATAAAAAGACAAAGAAACGTCTCTTTTTCACTTTCTGCCATATACATGCATGTACATGCATATGTTCCAGAAAACAAAAATTACAAATGATTGATTCCTTTATTGAAATAATTGGACACTGTTGTCATTTATAACAAAGAATACAAAATACATACATATACACGCATATGTTCCAGAAAACAAAAATTACAAATGATTGATTCCTTTATTGAAATGATTAGACACTGTTGTCACTTATAACAAAGAATACAAAGAAGAAATTTACATTTACTTTACCAAACCATACCCTGCTTTGACATATTAATTTCAATGAACCAGCGATGCATAAATAATTAAAAATTGATATTACCGAATGTTGTGTAAATTATTGAAACGGTGTTACTGAAAATTAACTAAATTAATTTAGTTTATATATATTGTTTATTTATGTCAAATATATCATATACTTATGCATATGCGCATTACAAGGTGTATCGCAGTATTAAAGAGACATAAGAAAAAACCGTATTATTATCTCAATAATAATAAAAGAGAAGACTAAGGAAAGAAAATTTATGTACATTATGTTAATCGCACAAATGTACGTTTTAGAAAAATGGAGTAATCGCCATTATCGTGGATAATGTTTATTAGATCAAGAAAGAGAAGAAAAGAAAGGAACACTGTGTCAGATTCCAGTGGAATTCGATTGTTTGATACATGTACTTAAGACTCTCTTCAAATGATGACTCGAAAGTAGACAATAGCGTGGATCCAAAACACTTCACGGATATTGGGCAAATATTTTCATCAACATATTGCATCGAAACGTTAATTCTATCAAAATACTATTGATTGAAAAAAAAACAGATATTCTAGAATCCAAGATCAATCCAAGCTTCACGTTCATTCATATTTATACAATTAAATTCTCACAGAGGGATGCACATGCTAGAGCAAAAAAAAGAAGAGAGCAAACAGGGAACAGTAACGTATTTGCTGGCATCAAGTATGCAGCAGCCCAGTTAGAAGACCACCCTGGTCGGTGGCAGGGTAGCTGATGTTGCGCACCTGATGGTAGAGCGCAGGATCGTAGGATTACAGTGACCTGTGCTTCCTTCTGTAACGTGTATACATACGCCGCGCTGTTACGCCGACGATGTAACGTGGTCGACAGTGGCAATCGGGGAGCAGAGGGTAGGCGAAAGTCAGACAGAGAGGAAAGAAGAGCCAGTGAGAGAGTGTGTATCCTTGTACAAAGGGTAATGCAAACGAGAGAGCAAAATGAAGGAAGCCCCAGAGTGGGAAAGGAATGTGGGGGAGACGAGCACACTACCATTTATCGGGGCATGTTACGCGTGCGAGAAAATATAAAAAGTGGAAGAACAGGACAAACGAGAGGAGAGCGAGAAAGGAAAGGGGTGAACGAGTAAAACAGAAATACTGAGGGAAATAGAGTGGAAGGGGTGTACAGAGATGGGTGGGAGAGAAGTTGTGAGCAGGAGATCGGAGAGGGGAGATGGGAAAGGAGAGAGAGAGAGAGAGAGAGAGAGAGAGTAAAGGGACCTCCGCATGATACGGACCACCCCTCGGTGGTTTACCAGTGGTTCAGTCAGCGCTTCGCACCGGCGTCGCTTCTCTGCTGTTCGGTGATTTGTCTCGGTCGTAGCCTCGTGCTACGGATAATCGCGTGTCTCATGTCGCAAGATCAATGAAAGAACGACGTGTGCTTCGCAGCAGGAACGACAGCAAAGAGAACGTCGCAGGTGCGACCGTATCGAAAGGTCGATAGCATCATTCAGAACGAAGTGAGTTTTCGCTCCAACCGCGGGGGCAAACAAAGAATCGTCGCTTGTGCCGCTTCGCCTCGGTGTGGGTGTTTGAACAAGTGATTCGCGTACTCGGCATCCGGCGAGGAAACAGAAGGGCCAAGGGAACAGAATCCGAAGGAAAAGAAACAGACACACGGCACAGCGAGGACCTGAACCGGTCCTAGACAGCAATCGCTGTGCATGTCTCAAACCTCGTTCCCAAGTTTTTCACTTTACAAAGCTCTGCCTACATCCCTGAGGTAAGCACGTTCTCCGTGATTTTTAGATTTTTCTTTTTTTCTTCTTCTTCTTCTTTCCAATTCCCTACGATACTTTGACTAGAGTACTCTGACTTTTTTTACTGTTCCTACCGTGGAACATAGAGAGCCACGTTCAAAAGAAGAGAAATGATTTTACATAGTAAAGGGAAAGTAAGTTCAACTATAGTCGAACGAGATACGAGTGTTGCGAAAGATAAATGAAACAAAGCAATCAGAGGATCAATTATAGCCCACGTCGAGTCGAGTATCCTTTTATCGAATGCCTCGAGCCAGTAGACCGCTCATTTTAATTATTCGCGGTCGAACAAATTTTCTGCGAGCCAGGTCCTCGCGCGTTCTCTCTCCCGGTCCGGCCGTGTCCATTCAAAGGGAACATGAATTTTCGATACGTCACCTGCCGCGGAGACACATCACCGCTCGCGATTGTAACACGACTTCGCAGCTGTTCATCGATCGCGCGTTCCGTTGCAATCTGATCGCCGACCGATCATTACGCACGCAAGTCAATCCTTAATCCGGTCGCGTGCATTTCCATTAGCGGAGCCACGATGCGATCGGAAACTCGCGTCGCGTAACGAACGATATGAATGTTAATTTTCGCAAATTTCTATCGGCCTCTCGCGTTTCTTCGAGAGAGAGAGAGAGAAAAAAAAAGAAAGAAAGAAAAAGGAAAAACAGCGGAGAACAATGCTCTGAAGTAGACAATGACCTCTCGCGCCTCGTTTTCGCGTTGCTATTTTCTTGCGATATCAGCGAGAATTGTCCAAGTCTCGGGCTGTTTGCACACCGAGCTGTGTTTATAAACTCACGTGTGGCGTTTCTTATCGGTCGCGGTGTGGCATTCGCGAGTGCACACAATGGCTGAGGCTCGGTAAAACGAAGTTGGACCGCGGCCAACTCTCGAGCCACCATGGCACTCGTGCAACCTGCAGAACCCGTGCACGCCAGCAGAAACAGCTGTTAATCCGACTTGTTGCACCATCGAACAAACGGAGCCACGCTCCCAATCTCTTGCTGCACACTCTGCAAACTGCGTTGCACCGGCTGTTTTTTTCTTGCTCGCCAAGGGGAAAGCGAATCTTTGCCACTCTGCGACCCTCGTAATCTCACTTCTTCCGTCCATTTACGTTTTATTTCCTCTTCGTTGGCAAAGTTTGCGGGATGTTCGTCGTCGGGGTAATTAACAGGGTAATTACCAGTTGATAAACACAATGGCCAGCCACGGTTTAAATTATTGTTCAAGAATCTCAGATCTGACATAACGTGCGTGTATATATTCGTTGTTTCTGCAAAACAAGTAAATTAGAAAAGAAGATAGGTATAGGATCGGTGAAAAATCACTTTCTATTAAAATAAATCCGTAATTTTTTTTTTACTATATATATAGATATATATTAAAGTACATAAAAAATTTAAAATCAATAAACTTAAATTTAATTTAAAATTAATAA